ATTGCATTTAGACGATGTTTGGTATTCTAATCGTCACGTAGGCCGTGATAGGTTATCAAGTTTATGAAAAAATAAACTGTTAACAAATTTTGTTCTATATTGCCCAGCATCTTGAATTAAATCTTTTCCAATTTGTCGGTGCAATTATTTTGCAAATTCGGTTGTAAAACGGTCTATTTGAAGATTCAGAAAGAAGATAGAAGGGAAAATATCAATGATAAATCATGCACAAACGTGGTCTAACGGGTTTTATACACATCGCAAAAATTCTGTAAAACATTCTTAGAAATCCTCATTTCTTGAGTAACTTTTGTACCTGATTAATAGTGAGATCAATATCACTTTCCGCAGAAACACATTCAAGTATATAACGTTCACGGTGAAGGTCGATGTATCCCTTCCAAAAAAGCTCATCACTTTCATTATCAACTGTTGATGATATAGCCTGTTTTAGTTTATTTTAGGGGTTAATGTTTAAATTAAGGTTAAATGTTAGGGATCTTTGCTTTGAAAATGACCTTACGGGACATAGTAAATCATATGATCAAAACTTGATTTTCTAAGCAAAGACTCCATATACCCTTTTGTTAGTGCACGAAACGTGGTTCCTTATCTAATCTATCCCTAATTAGGTCTCCCACAAAAAAAAAAAAAAGTATTTTTTTATATTAATATAATTTTGCTATGTACTATTGATTATGTTAAATGTTTTTACTATTAATTAAATAATTTTTACTATGCACTTATCGATTATGATGTTTTTTATTAAACATAAATTAACGTCGAAATCCATCCAAGTACGAAGTGTAATTTACAATTTTCGATTTTTTCTAATTTCACATTAAAGTTTTAAATAATCTATTCAAAATCGTTTATCTAACAAAAAAGAATGCATATTAATAAATTCTCAAAATAATAATACCGGTAAAAATAACAATAATAATAATAATAATAATATACGTTTCTTACTTCTTCAAAAACATAAATAATTTAAACTTGATTATCTTTATTTTCTTTATCGTTATCATTTCCAAATATGAAATTATTTTCACAAAATTGCAATTTTTGTAAGAATGTTTTTTCAATATCCGATTTACATATTTTTAAAAAAATGGAAATTATTATACTTATATAATTATGAAGCAGGATTTCCAGTCAAACATTTTCTTTATGCGATTTGCTATAAGTCAGCTTTCATAAGATCAAAAAACGAATTTGCGCTATGGATTTTAAAAAGTTATCTATCAGTAAAAGTCATGATTATTACTTAACGCGATTTACTATAAGTCAGCTTTCACAAGATCAAAAAACGAATTTCGCTATGGATTTTAAAAGTTATCTATCAGTAAAAGTCATAATTATTACTTAACTTACTTAATCGACTAAATTGACCGTATAATAAACTTTTTCGAGTATTTAGATTTCATTTTCCTTCTTGTCTGTTTATTTTAAAACCTCAATAGATAAGTAGATTTTTTATATCGCATTTTTGATTTAAAAACAAATAATTGTATAAAACGAATTATTTACCTAAAATGACACATTATTAACTAATTAAAAAAAAAATAGATTGACCCTTGCTGGAATCGAACCAACGGTATCAAAGTCATAAGACTAAGAATCCAACCGACTTAGGGCCTTTACATGACGCCAGAATCATACAACGACTATAGCGTCAAAACCTCGGGAATAGGAAAACGAAAGGAACTACTCTCCTTGAGGATCAGAGAATAGAACGGTACGAAACTTGAGAAGGATGTCGTACCCACACTCGTATCTCATTTTAGTATAAGAGACCAAGAACCCCCCTTGCAATAAGTGATATCACAAACCACGTCGAGAAAACCTTAATTGTTGAAATACTATCAACGCATAATCTTGACAATTCAATCGTCAACCACCAGACGAGAATTGATAATCATGGATGTTACAAACACCAAGAAAATACTCATTTATGACTTGAGTTAGTCACCGTGATTTAATTTTTTTAACTCTTGCCACGAATACAAGAGAGGGTAAATCCGTCAAGGCGCAAAGCTCAAATTTTACTTCGAGAGCTTGAAGAACGATTTAATTTTTTTAACTCTTGCCGTACTACAAGAGAGGGTAAATCCGTCGAGGCGCAAAGCTCAAATTTACTTCGAGAGCTAGAAGTATGCATTCTATAACTCTTTACCATAGTATAAACTATAGCAGTTATAGAAAGAAAAACTCAATACACCCGGCCGGAACCGCTAGAGTTCGCGTGAGGTTTAAGGACGAACCAATAACCATTAAGAAAAAATTATATGATTTAATATTTTAACTCTTGCCATAAATACAAGAGAGGGTAAATCCGTCGAGGCGCAATGCTCAATTTTCTTCGAGAGCTAGAAGGTATGCATCCTATAACTTTAACCGTATAGGATGAAAGACTCAATTACCCGGTCGGTATCGCTAGAGTTTGCGTGACATCTAATTAAAAACAAAAGTTTTTAGATTTTTGATAATAGCAGTAATAAAAAAAAAAAAAAAACAAAAGCCTTGCTGAAAAAAAATACATAACCGTTATAAAATAAATAAAAAAGGCTAGAAGAAAAGTCCCGGTTTCTTCCAACAGTTGGCCGTGGAAATTGGAGAAGTAAGACTCTTGGAACATAAAAAAAAGATTCTGAATTCACTGTCACGGAATTCCTGAGAGAAAAATCGATTAAACTCACAGCAGCACAAACGAATCTATTTGGAGAAAAGAGAAAAAAGAAGCACTAGAAATTGATTAAAGTGGTCCCCAAACAAAAAAAAAGACATAATGTAGCAGTTATTACATAGAGTCTTACCTCTTGGTTATACTCAAACTCTAGAGCACTTCGCATTAAACTGTAGGATCGCTACAAAAGCACGGCAAATGGTATACAAATTATTAAAGCTACCTCGCGACATTGAACCTCCAGAAACGATAGAGGAAATAATCACGACCTCAAACATCAAAAATCACGGAAACCACCAAGCAACAATGTGGATACGATTTATGAATTGTGGTGTTGGTAAACAAATACAAAATGGGGAGACAATGACATACCAAATTCGGAGGTCTATAACGAACAGCAAAAAGTTCTTAAATTCCTTCTGTATAAATAGCCTTCAAATGTAATATAATATAAATACCGTTTGAATAATAAAAAACGTCAACATTAGATATAAAAGTTGTTTAAATATGAGAAAAAAAAGGTTGTTTACATCATGTATTCGCTTTGTGATTGTGATCATCTGAGTTACACAAAGCCAAAATTTTAATTGGCTATCATATCAGATGATCTTCATGTCAACCAACATAACACAAAAGGTTTCGGTTTTTCAAAATTTAAGTTTCGGAATACTGTATAATTTCGGGTTTCGATTTTCAAACTATATTTTCGGGAGGTTTTCTTTTGGATCGCCAGTATACAACTGACTAAATTCTTTAAAGTTCACGTTAGGTTTAGATTAACGTTAGTCGTTGGTAGTTTCTATAGTAATCAAGGAAAACTTTTACGAAAAATTACATGCCTGACTTCGAGTTACGTTACATTTGACATTTGATCATGATTACCGTAGTTTGAACCTATTCACATAATATATGCAGCCAATTAATTTAACCAAAAATCGCATAACTGATAATCACAATTGACGCAAATCGTCAATTATAAACCATACGTTGAAATATTCTTTAAATATAATTATGCCACTTTTAGTTTATTTTTAAGTTAATGTCAATATTTTGGGCTCAGGTAGAGATGTTATGTAGTTAGGAAATAACTAAAACTGTTATCGAATTGAATCAAAACCACCTGAACTAGTTTGTTTATCACGTCTGTTTAATCGTCATAAACTATAATAGCTATTCTATTTTTTGCGTTACCGTAACATAAGGTTTTTTAAATTATAAAATCAATGAAGTACGTATAAAAATCTTTAATAACCAATAAAATTTTTGTCAATCAATTTAATATCTCTAATTTTACCTAATTTAAACAATTTTAATAAACAGTTTTGTATAACTAGTTAGAATTAGTTTAAGTAGTTAACTGCCAGTTTGTAACTGATATGGCTCGTTTAACATTTTTAGGCTCAGGTATGGGGGGATGTCGTGAAGTATTTGACAAATTTCATTGTTCAACCTCAATCATGTCACTAGTGAGGTTCGTCCAGTGTTATGATTGGCTTGTTTAATTTTCGGGGGACAGCTAGCAAGGACAGGGGGGATAATGTTAACCTAAAAATCAACTTTAAACGGCCTTATGGTAAATACTATAAAACGTCTCGTCAAAAACATCAAGTATAACTTGCTAGTCGTGGAAACCCTTTTTATAAAACGTTATTTGGACGAAAATCTTCAAATTCTATGTTTTTTTTTCTTGTGATTACTTAAATTGAGTAATATGATTAAATACATATGAGGTTATTTGATAGTGACTGTATGAATTATCTATGATTTTATAGGATGTTATAGAAGCTTTAATTTATATAAGTTCTCAATAATCTCAGTATTCTGAAGCAAGGACATCATTATCCTTTAATCTGTAAGCTATTTCCAGGCAAATTTGCCTGGAAAATTTGTGTAATACTGCTATGATCTATATTTTTATAAAATTAAAATATTC